TTTGATTCTTAGCTTGATTAAACCAGGACTCTGAACAGGTTTAAAAATCCATCCTCTGACAAAGGCTTTACTGACAACTTTCCATACAGTTGGTCAAAAAATAAAAAAATACAGAACCACAGCAGACAGTATCTTGTACACGAAATCAACGTAACTGGAGTCCCTTCTCATTGTTTTAAAAAAAAAATCCCCCAAAACCTAAGAACTTAGTTTTGGTGGTGGAAAGGACCTTGATCCCCACCCAAATGAACCAAAATAACCCAGGAGAGAATTCAAACCAAACTAGTAGGGTAGAGAGGGGATCAGATTTTAAAATAACTGCTTTTGTGACACAAACATGACGCTGAGAAAGACAGGCTTGGGCTAGACAGTGTCTCTGACGATGACTATCACCATGTGTTCTTCTTCTAGCTTGCCCAATGTCCTTAGTGCTGACTGGAGGTACTGCTGGGAAAACTCGCAGGGCGGAAATGCATAGAGCATGCCTGTGCCGTCTCTGCCCTTGGACCCCCCCACTGGCAGGCTGATCACCCCTGCGGCCTGCTTCTGTTTCAAGTAGGAGACCAGGTTCCTGAGAAGCCGCCTCTGCAGACCTGGCTCCACTGTGGGCATCCCCTCAGTGCCAAGCCCACTGGGGGTTGCCTGGGTGGCTAAAAGGACCGCATAGCCGTTGGGGCTCCCCTGCTTGATGCGTCGTGTGACCTCGTCGAGCTTGGGCTGGTCCAGTCGAAGGCGCTGAGCGATCTTCAGCTGGGTCAGCTTGCTCCCAGAAGCGTGGTCTTTGAGGAGACTGCTGATCACCCCCTGATCCCCCTCTAGGATGTGCATAGATGTGGGGAAGCAGCTGTTTTTCAACACCAAAAGCCCATTCCAACCCAGCTGTAGCGTCTGAGCGTAATCTGAAAGATTCTTCAGCTTTTTGGTCTCATGTTTTGGCTCTTCGAGAGGCTTGGGCTCGGCCTCCGTGGTCCGGTGATTGCGCTCGCTGTCTCTTGCCTTCTTCCCGTGGGAAGAGTCTGTAGCCTCGTGGTGGTGGTGATGGTGGCCCCGTTCCTCAGCCCCATGTCTGCTGTTGCTGAGGGAGTTGCTGCTGGACTCCTTGGTCCCTTCACTGGAGTGGTTCTCCTTGCGGCTGCGCTCAGGGGTGCGGTCGGAGCCCCGCTCTGACTGCTGCCCACTGCCCTTGGTCCTGCTCCGTTCCTCATACGGGGAGTGAGTTGACCTCCCACGGTCACTGGAAAGGCTTCTCCGTTTCCGCCTCTCTTCCCAGGGCTTGGGCAAACCACGGTCCGCATCTCCCCCCCAACGCTCACCACTCCGGCTGCGCACCGAGCGACTGTAGCCCTCAAGGCTGTTTCGGCGGTCGGAGCTCTTACTGGGGCTAGTCCAGTCCCCTTCTAAAAAGGTCCGGTCTCGGTCTGAGTACAAGAGGTGTGGGGGCGTCCTGTCCCGCACCAGGTCCGCGTCCAGGTTGCGGTGCCGGGTATATCCATCTGTTAGCAGCTCATAATGCACAGGGAGCGGCGAGGGCTGGTACTGCTGGGGGTACCGTGTCTCTTCTGCTTTGGCAAAATCCACGCGGAGCCTGCGGTCTGGTCCACCCAAGGGAAAGCCCCTCATTTTAGCACAGGCGGCCTGGGCTGCGTCCAAGCTCTCGTACTGGATATAGGCAAAGCTATCTCCTTTGACGTGATCAATGGTCCGAATGCTCCCAAAGCGATCAAACTCCCGGGCCAGAGCCGCCAGTGAGGTGTTAGGTCCCAGGCCGCCCACCCAGAGACGAGTGGTGGGGTTGGCCTTGCCATAGCCTATCTTAATGGGGTTGCGACCAATCACTCGGCCTGACATAGCCACCTTAGCCCTATGGGCCATGTCCAGGTTCTGGAACTTGAGAAAGGCATAGGCACCCCCCTGGCCACGGGCAGGCCTCTTGATAACCACCTCCTCGATGATGCCGTATTTCTCGAAGGCTCGTCGCAGCTCCACCTCAGATACGCTGTGGTCCAGGTTCCCGATGAATAGGTTTCGCGTGGCCCGCTGGTCGTCCTCGGGCATCAGGTCCTCCTCGCACACAGCTGGGTAGCCATAGGGGCGCCCACGATCGTCGTACAGCCCGTAGTAGTCCAGGGCCCGCTCGCGGGACAGTCCCACGGCGGCGGCGGTGGCGGCATCTAGGGCAAAGGCTGCGGCGGCGTGGCGGGCGCGGGGCTCTCGCAGGGGCGGGGCAGCGACGGGGGACAGCGAGCGCTGCTTGTACTGGTAGCCTCCGTGCAGCGGCAGGTAGCCGAGCGGGTCGGCGGGCGCGGGCGGCCCTGGGGGAGGCGTGGAAGCGGCGGCGCTGCTGCTGCTGCTTCGCCGGCTGCTCCCGCCGCCGCCGCGCAAGTACACGGGCTCTACCTTAAGCGGGCGATCGTAGAGCAGCAGCTGGCGGGCCAGGGCGTGCTGGCGGGCCTCGCGCGCGTCCTGTGGATGCCGAAAGTTCACGTAGGCCACACGGCCCAGCTCAGGCGTGTGCGATAGGCGGAGGCTGATCTCGCCAAAGCGCTTGAACTGGTGGAAGAGCCTGTCCTCGAGGTGCTCGGCGGGCAGCGCCGGGCTCAGGCTGCTGATGAGGAGCGTCTTGTACTCAGGCGCAGCCGCGGAAGAGCCGGGACCCGTGGGCTCGGCCCCAGGCGGTGGCGGAGGCGGCGGCAGCGGAGACGTGCGGGGCGACAAGCCGGAGGCGCCCGGGTCCCCCGAGGCCTTGCCGCCGCGTCCCCCGCCGCCAGCGCCAGAGCCCGAGGAGCGGCCGCTGCTCGCACGGTGATTAGCGTCCCCGGCGCTGCGGCTGTCGCGATGCCCGCCCCCGCCGCTTCCGCTGCCGCGGGGTTTGTCGCGGGCCCGCGCTGGAACCGGGTGCTTGGCGCCGCCAGAGGCCTTGTGCGCCGCCCGCCGCCCGCCCGCCTCCGCCTCCCGTTCGCGCTCCCGCGGACGCTTTGCAGACGATGACGAGCCGCGCCCGCTCGGGCTAGAGTCTCGCTCGCTCTGCCGCTTCATGGCGCTGGCGCGGCGGGCGGGCGGCCCGTAGGTTTCTCACAGCGGCGGCGGCGGCGGCCGAGGAGGCAGCGCCCCCGGCGCCGCCATCTTGGACAAAAGGACTCGGCGCGGCGGCGGCGGCGGGGCGGGGCGGGAGCGGCGCCGAGGAGCCGGGCATTACGTTATCAAGCTGCGCCGACCGCGCCACGTGACGCTGCGGCGTGGGGGGCGAGACACGCGTCGGGCTGCATCATTGTGCTGCGTCGTCCAGTGCCACGTGACCCCGTGAGGGCCACTGCGCGGCCCACATGAGCGTTGCTTAAGGCTACGCGAAGTGAAGGGAACCCTGAGAGGTACGTAGGACGACCTAACGCTTTGTGCTCCCAGGCATGCTTCGCCGGTCTGGTTTCAGCTACCTCCTCCCGCAGGCGCTGGAGCCCGCGCTCACTGGAACAGGAAGGAGTGGCAGCTTCCGTGGGCGTCGGGGTCTGGGGCATTGACCCAGTCAGTGGTGTCTGTGTAGTATCCCCTCAGTCCCAGGACTAGGCTTGAGCAAAGCCCCGTTATCACCCTCCTTGGCATCTTCTGCCTGGGGTCCGGGGTAACTGCCCCAAGGACAAATGCATGCCTACCCCTAGGTCCTGTCTAGGACCCAAGGCCCACATTCCGGGTATCCTCCACGTGTAAGTTCACCTGCTGCAGTCCCCAAAAAGGCCGTGAGGACCATGGTTGTGCATGTAAGGAATAAGTGAAAGCAGAGACAAGCCTGCAGTTGCAGTTGGAATAGACTCTTTAACGCCACTCTTTGGACCCACCCTCTTCTGTGGGCATCAGGGCAGACAGCAGGCTGGAAAGGTAGAGCCACAGGAGCCAAGGATGAAGAGGCCAAACGCATAGATAGTAACAACAGTTACCACAGCTTGCCACGCTGACTCCTCGCTGGCCAGTACCCTCAGAAGGACCTCTTCTCTCCACGTGAGGTGAGGGAAAGGGTGCCCGAGCCCATTGAGGAAGCTTTCATTCTCCAAGGACAGTTGCTAGAGCCATAGTAGAACCTGACCCAATTTCTGGCCCAGAATCCTTGCGATGGGGAAGAGCACACTAAGTTTCCCCCTCTTCCCGCAGTGAGAAAGCAGCTCAGGCAGGTGCAGGGGGAAAGGTCTTGGAAGAAAGCAACAAGCTCCACGGTAGCCTGTAAGGCCTCCTACAGCTTAGGAGACAAAAGAGAAGCGCTCTGAAGCAAGAGCAGTTCCTTGTAAAGCACTGGTTCTTAGTCCTCCTTTCAGGTGGTGTCTGCAGGCATCTTCATTGAGCCAAGGCTCACACTAACACCTGGGTTTCCTAAGCACCAGTGCCACAGAGAGCGGCTTAGGAAGCAGACTCCAGAAAAGCCCTGGACCTCAACTATTAATTTAGGGTAAACAAAGGCAAAAAGCAGCTTCCCACCCCCTTTTTTTTGCCAGTCTTGTAAAAACTGGAACAGACATCAGAAGCTTGGGATGGACACTAGACCATGAGCCTGAAAGAGCAAGCAGGTGGCCAGGCCAACAGCATCTTTAGAGATGTCAGCACTGAGCAGTTATTGAAGCCATCCTTGCAGGAAACCCCACTTCACACATCCTGTCTTGCTTGTACTGAGCCCCAATGTAAGGTCCTCTAAGGTATCCTAGACTCACTCCTCTCTAGAGTGTGTGGCCTCCAGCTCTCTTGTGGGTAAGATACACACTGTATCTAGGGGCAGGTTATCAAGCCCAGCCCCGCCTCAGGCTCCTTTCCGCTGAGGTGCCTGCTGCCCTCTAGTGGCATACATCGATGCCGTCAGCTGGCCCCAGCCCCCATGTCTTGCACCTGTTATTTTTAGCACTGGTGGGTTGAGGGACAAATGGGAATGAATATCCCCCCAAACCCTGAAACTGGAAAGCATAAACTGGTAGGATCCTCATGGAGCAAAACCCTATTTCAGTACTCACTTTAATTCTCCAAGAACAGCTAGAAATTTTTTTTCCTTTAATAAAAAAATCCCAGACACACTTTGAAGTCCTTGAGTATACCAGCAACAGAAGGAAGGGAAGCCCCTCATTAGGGTACTGTAGAGCCAGCATCATCAGGAAAGCTCCAGGCTTCACATCTGATCCTGTACTGTCAGGAGCCCACTTAAAAAATAAATTACAAAAAGGCTGTTTTGGGAACAAACAGTTGAACTGTTTTTTCCCCCCTCAGGTGCAACAGAGATTGAGCAGACTACAAATCAGTCCGTGCACTGGCTGCCTTGGGGGCATATTTAGGCATCAGTTCATTTATCTTCCGGATATAGTCAGACTTTTCTGCACAGCCTTTGCATGTCTCCCCCCAGTCATCCAGAATCTTCTTCAGCTCTTTAACTCGGAGCTTCTTCAGGTCCACTGTGCTCAGGTCGATCTGCTTGTCTGGAGGAGAGAGCAGGAAGAGTCACTGACGCGGTGGGAGCAGTCGAAGTCCCCTAGTTGTCTCAGAATAGATCATTCCCTGCACGGTCAAACCGGCCCTACTGGTTGTAGAGGAAGAGACATTTCCAGACACATTTATAGGCGTGTCAGTGCCTACTGCCCCTGAAAGAGAGAACTAGCCTCCTCACCAGGAAGGCTGGCCTCATGTTGTCAGTTTCCACTACAGATAGGCAGTGTGGACAAGGATAGGGACAGAGGCCACACTGTCTTTACAGGAGAAACGTGGTTCCCATCTTCCAAGTGCCTCTGACAGTCACCACAGACTAACAGTGCCAGGCTGGTGACAGAGTGGCCCTGCTCAGGCCTTTGGGTTAGCAACTTACTCTCCATGATCACAGTGACTTGGAACCAACTGGACCTGTACCAGGATGACTCTCTGAAGACACAAGTGGGTGAACACAGGTCCTTGGCCATTCAAGTCATCATAAAACATCAATACTGTTAAGTTTTACAGAAGAGGCCCTGACTGTTTCTGGACTGGGACTAAGTACAACCAGAGTTTGAGTCAGCAAGAGCGATGCTGGAGTTCCCAACTTCTGGGCTTGCATGCTTGGACACAGCATTTCTTTTCAGAATCATGAAGATCACTGGGCCTTCAAAGCTTGCAGCCAGGACTAGCCTGTTAAACCCAAGGCGTACCATGTCCTGCCTCTGCTCAAACACTCCTAATGCTCCTAACTTCACTCAGATTAAAAGCCCTCACCAACCTGCAAGGCTCTCTGACTTGCCAGGCCACTGGCCACCTTTATTCTACCTGTATCCTCTGCCTAGAATGCTCTTCTATTAGCTGGCCTCTTGGCTAATCCTCACGTCCTTCAAAGTTTGCTGAAACGTCACATCCTCAATGAGGCCTATTCTGACCTCCACCCACTTCCATGCCTGAGCCCTCCAGCATTTAGCACTACCTGTCATATGATACCATCTACTCATGACTCTAGCTCATCACCTTCCTCTCCCAGAAAGAAAATAAACCCAGAAGGTGCACAACATGTGTTAAATAAGGACTGGCCATACTCACCATACTTTAGCTCACAGATCTGGCTGTCCTTCTTCTTAAGCTTCTCACAGATCTTTTCCACAGGGATGTGGTGGGCCAGAGGCTTTGATACCTCATTGATTATTTTGGTGGCTGCATCCTCTGTGGCCCCGATATAGTAGCACTGCAGCAAGAAAGGACAATGCCTTCAGGAGGTGCTGCTTGAGAGCTATCTCCTCCAAAACACACTGACACCTTCAAACATCATCTCCCTGCCAGGGCCTTACCTTTTTTTTTTTTTTTTTTTTGAGACAGGGTCTCCCTGTTGCCCAGGCCAGAATGCAGTGGTACCATCATGGCTTCCTGCAGCTTTGACCTGCTGGGTGGTGATCCTCCCCACTCAGCCACCCTGTTGGCTGGGTTTACTGGTGTGGGCCACCATGCCCAGCTAATTAAAAAATTTTTTTTTTTTTTTTAGTTTTGTTGTCACCCAGGCTGGAGTGCAGTGGCGCGATCTTGGCTCACTGCAACCTCCGCTCCCCGGGTTCAAGCAATTCTCCCTGCCTCAGCCTTCCAAGTAGCTGGGATTACAGGCACCCGCCACCACACCTGGCTAATTTTTGAATTTTTTAGAGATGGGGTTTTGCCATGTTGGCCAGGCTGGTCTTGAACTCCTGACCTCAGGTGATCCACCTGCCTTGGCCTCCCAAAGTGGTGGGATTACAGGTGTGAACTACTATGCCTGGCCTAAAAGTTTTTCTGTAGAGATAGGATCTCACCACGTTGCCCAGGCTGATTACCCTAAGCTCAAGCAATCCTCCCCCCTTGGCCTCTTAAGGTGCCTAGGATTACAGGCATGAGCCACTGCACCTGGCCCACAGCCTCACTTTTTGGTGCCCTGCCTGTATTGGTAGTCAGATTCAGTCAGTGTAAACCCTGGATTTTTTTTTTTTTTTTTGAGGCAGAGTTTTGCCCTGTCACCCAGGCTGTAGGCAGTGGCGTGATCGCGGCTCACTGCATGCAACCTCTTCTTCCTGGGGTCAAGCAATTCTCCTGCCTCAGCCGCCCAAATAGCTGGGACTACAGGCCTAAGCCATCATGCCCAGCGAATTTTTTTGTATTTTTAGTAGAGACGGGGTTTCACCATGTTGGCCAGGATGGTCTCGATCTTCTGACCTCGTGATCTGCCCGCCCTGGCCTCCCAAAGTGCTGTGGTTACCGGCATAAGTCATCGCGCCCAGCCAACCCTGAACTCTTAACACATGCTCAGACTGAGCTGACAGCCACCAAATGAGTTTTTCAAACCTTTAACAGAGAGACAAACCAGAGACTGTCAAGGAAATTAGTTAGAAAAGCCATTGCTTCACTAGGGCTCGTCTTGGATTTGGCCCTTGCCTATCCTGCAGGCACCCTGTCACCTTCTCCTGTCCACACACACGCCAAACTCGTTCTGGTCTCTGGGCACTCACACTGCTGTTCCCTCTGTCTGGGATGCTCTTACCCCACTTCAATAACCCTTCCTCAGAGAGACTTCTTGGCCACTCTAATTCAGCACCCACTGGTCTATTTTCTTTCTTTTTTTTTTTTTGAGACGGAGTTTCGCTCTTGTTACCCAGGCTGGAGTGCAATGGCGCGATCTCGGCTCACTGCAACCTCCGCCTCCTGAGTTCAAGCAATTCTCTTGCCTCAGCCTCCTGAGTAGCTGGGATTACAGGCACGCACCACCATGCCCAGCTAATTTTTTGTATTTTTAGTAGAGACGGGGTTTCACCATGTTGACCAGGATGGTCTCGATCTCTCGACCTCGTGATCCACCCACCTCGGCCTCCCAAAGTGCTGGGATTACAGGCGTGAGCCACCGTGCCCGGCCTGGTCTATTTTCTTCATGACACTCAGCCACTGCATTATTTGTTTGCCCGAGTGTCACTTTTTCCTCTGATATCCCCAGTGCCCAGCACATAGTAGGTCCTTAATAAATACTAACGGGATTAAAAAAAAAAAAAAAATCACAGTTGCAGAATATATGCCCGCTTGGGGAAGGACATAAAAGCACTTCAGTCTCACATTAGTTTATGGAGAGAGCTGTTAGCTTCCTGAATAGAGAGGTGGGCAAGGCCTTTTATCTAAAGGCTGATGTTAACATGACCAGGGCCACTTGGGTTGGGGGGGCGGTCAACAGCTACTCACCAACCGATTCTCTTTGCCTCTTGCTTCCCGGCAGAACTTTATAAGTTCGTTTTCAATAGTGGCTGGTGAGAATGTGACATCTCTGTCTTTGAGGTCCTGGTAAAATCTTCCCAGATAAGAAATACAAACTGGAAAAGAGGGACAGGAGATGCTCAGCAATCACCAAGCTGTTCCAATCCACCAGGAAGGAACTCCCTCAGCAATTTTACTAGGAGACACAGAGATGAATCATTAGAGGTGAGCTTCTCCATCACCGATTTTTCTCAGGTGCCTACAGGTAGACAGAATCTGGTTCCAGGTGGCAGGGGTCCCCTGGTACACCCAGAGCATCAAGGGACCAAGCATCACCCCAATGACCTATAAAAGACCCTTCCCTGCTCCTTTCATCAAGTTTAAGCCCATGGTAAACACGTGTCCTTGAGAGGGGACTCACTGTGACCTCATAAATGGAAAGACTAGAAGGTGAAGAGAAAATGATCAAAATACTGCTGCTAATTTCCAAATACAACAGCGGAACCAGAGGTGCAGCTTCGTGATCCCAACAGACCGGGCGCAGTTCCCACGGCTAGCCCTGGGGCTCCCGACGGCGGACGGGGCTGTTCCCGGTAACCTCGGGATGGTGGTGGGGACAATAACTCAGGCGTGATGGAGATTTCAGGCCAAGTTTTCAACGGGATCTAGTCTTAACTTTTCCTCGTCGGACCAATGTTTTCTAGGACTAGGAAAGATTTACTAGGGCCGGCGTCGGAGCCTCCTCATGCAGGCTCGGCCGGGACCTGCCGTCGCCCCTGCCGTCGCCTCCCCCCCGCCCCCGCCCCCGCCCGCTTGCCCCCGCCCGCTTGCCCCCAGCAGTCTGTGGTTGTGTGGGGTTCAGCGCCGCCGCTAGAACGGTCACGGAGCGCGGACCCCGGCCCCCCGCACCTTCGCAGTCGCCCGGCCGCAGCGCCCGGCTGCCCGGCAGCACGCTCAAAGCCAGCGCCACCGCCAGCCCCTGCGTGGCCCACATCCTACTCCTCCTCCTCCTCCGCCGCCGCCGCCGCCGCCGCCGACGCCGCCACCACCGATCGACTGAACCGCACCCGCCGCGCCGCACCGCCTCCAAGTCCCGGCCGCGCGCCGTAGCTCCTCATTGGCAGAGGGGCCTCCGTGCCCTCCCACACGCCACTACCTCATTGGTCCACGAGCCTCGGAGCCCAGACGGGCGGCTCCACGCTGCCCTCCCTCATTGGCTGGTGGTGTCTCAGCCCTAGATAGTTGTCGGCCGCTGATTGAACCCGGGCCGGCCACAGGAAGCGGCTACCGCTACGACGGAAGCGGCATGGTCCGCCATCTTGGGTAAGGGCAGGGAATCTGGTTGAGGCCGAGTGCCGCTGGCTGAAGTGAGGTTCACTAACCGCCTTATGTCTGTTGAGTTGACCTGCGTACTCCCTTCCCTGGGCCCCAAACTCGCCCGAAAAACCCTGCGGATCTCCTCGCCCGGACCCCGACTCGGGGCGCAGGAGTTCTGGGGTCAGCCAAGACAAGGCAGGGAGGGCCGGCGGCAGCAGGCTAGGCTCAAAGGTTTTTCTTTTCTTTTTTCTTCTTTCATTCACGGGGGCAGCAGGCCCAATCTTTGGGAGCCCACCTGCTGAACTTCCACCAGACCGGAGCCCCCCGTGCACAGGCTGACAGGCGAGGTGCGGGGTGGACAGACTGCGGACCTCGGGAGGAAGGGCTCAAGGCGCGCCAAGTTCAAGGCTGGGCCGCTACTGTAGACCGCCTGAGGGAAGCGCCAGGGCCGGATTTTCGGTCGAGGATTTGGGGTCACTCAGAGTGGGGAGGTGAGGTCGCCCCTCACCTCCCCACTCTGGCGTCCTTACAAGCTCCGAAGTGTGGCTGTGTGGTTGGCCCGCCTCCTGCCTCCCCGCTAGGCCCTCGGGGTATCCCGCTGCCGAGGGGCCACCTGAGTGGGGTCCCGGGGATCAGCAGAGAAGCACTGGAGGATGTTTCCTTTCCGACTGCCCTCCTTTCAAGTGCCCTCCTGGCTGTCTGCCTTGAAGGCAGGACGCGGGAAGGGTCGGCTTTACTCAGCGCAAAAAGGACATGTCTATGGGGCTAAAAAGGGCTTGGAGCCCGTTGACAAGGGTTGGAGAGGGGCACATTCTCTGCTCCCATTCAGTGAATTCAGTGGATCAGTATCAGGTACTCATCTTTAATTCACATCACAGCAGTCAAGTAAGTGAGGGAAGGGGGAAAAAATCAAGTGGCAGATATTTACATCTAAAATTCACATTACTTGTTGGATTTTGAACATGCTACCACAATATATACAGTAAAATACCTCTTGGGACAATGGTACAAATTTTTTTTTCCTTTAACTTTGCTTTTCTGGTACAGGTAAGATCATTTTTAAATTACTTTTCTTTAAACATGAATGCACAAAATAAATGATTAGAAGTTTTCTTGTTTTAAATAAGCACAGAATGCGAGAGGTTAAAAACACATTTATAGTGCTGAATACCAATTGGACATCACATTCTATACATTTTTTGCTCAAATTCCTGTACAAATACACAGCATTCAAATAGGTATTTACAAATAAGCTTGAAGGAATGAAAATCAGTATTTTACAATCTTTTCAAAGGGTTCTCATCTCTGGCCTCCCATTTCCCCTCAGACTGACTGATTTTCCAACAAAAGGGATTTCGGAATGTGTCCTTTTCATTCAGTTAGGTAAAATGGAGAGGGAAAACAAACGATTACATCTTGCATAAAGCGAAGCGAAATGAACCCATACTCCCCTCCCTACCTTTTGTGCCACCAAGTGGAGAAGGTTTTTCTGTGATGACTGCCTTGTCCAGGGATTTAGGCTCAGACGTGCCTTAGAATCTAAAAACGCCCTCTTATGAATCAAATCCAAAACTCACCCCAACCCTCTAACACTTCTGTGGACACCAAATGGTCCAGAGATTGAGGCTTGCAAATGAATGTAGGCCGAGAAGCAGACGACTGACCCACATCCTCAGCAGCCTTCTGCCCCACTCTGCCTGGAGTGAGCCTGATGGTATCAGAAGGGACCCACACTGATGTAAATCCCCAGAAAAACCCTGGAGGTGATTTAGACCTCAATCTTTCTCAGTAGGTTGTTAGCACTTCTGTTAAACAAGCTGGGATTTGTTTACAAGAGAAAAACCCTGACCATGGCCTTCACTGTCTGGAAAGATTGACACTGGAGAAGGGATAAGGGGCTCGGGCCAAGGGCCTGGCCGTGGAGGTCACACAGACCAGCAGAAGAGGAACAGGGGGCAACATGCCTGCTCAACGAGGCAGCCTAGTGACCGTCATTAATGTGAACTCAAGCAAATAAAAGAAAAAAAAATATTTTGTAGGCTTTTTTTTTAAAGTAACTTAAAAGCACCCTGGTAAAGTACTACTATACCCACCTGATCCTATCCCCCCAAATAATAAACTGAGAGGAAAATCAGTGCCCTGACTTGAATGAGTTTTCTCTAAAGACACCACTGCTCTGCTTTATAGTTTCCTATAAAGACACCAACAGACTGGGGAGACTGGAGAAACTGTTCTCCTGCCATTCCCGAACCCTGAGTGGTGGTACCTACGGGCCTGGAGCAGGTTGCTGTATGTGGCCACTTGAGAGATGACAGTTCTACCTGCATGGCTATCTGCTTCCAAAGGAGAAGCCCCCTCCCACCTTCTTTACCCAGAAGCCTGTTGAACCTGACCACATGTCCTCAGGGCCTGGAAGCCTGGCTGGGGAGCCAACCCCATGGCTCCGAGGTAGTGCTGAAAATCCCTGATTCAGGAGCTGATGGTAGGCATTCTGGACGCTTCTGAAAGCTTTGAGGATTTCCGGTGCCTGCCACACCCCAGACTCACTTTTACAAGTCTCTCTATCACACAGGAAGGGGACCAGCTCCCCCAGGAGGAAGGTACCTGGGACAGCCCCTCTAGCTCCACACCCATTCAAACCCCAGAGTGTGGAAGATAACCCTTGCAGATCCAGTCACCACTGGGGCTCCTGTGGGGCATGAGGTGTTTCAAGAATGGAAGGGAGCAAATGGTCAGAAATAATGTGATGGAGAGAAAAATCCAAGGTGGAGTAGGAGACAGCTGGCCCATTGAAGCCTGGCAGTGCCCCGGGCATGCAGTTAGGCCAGTCACATGCCTGAGCCAGCAGGTTAGTCCAGCCAGCCCCTCAGTAGCACACTCCTGGATGGAAGAGGGACAGGTGGGCAGGCATTTGTGCAAGACAGCTGTGGCCCCTTTTTCCACCTGTGATATATCTATGTGGTCCTTGCAATCCCTGAATGCAACCATGAACTCTTCTGTCCATACAGCAAAGGAAGAAGTCCTTAGTGCAATTTCCATTCTGTGCATCTCTACCCTGGAGGGAGGGCCTGGGCTCCTGCTCCTGGGCCCTGCAGTGCGGCAAAGTGATGCTGTCTGTGCAATTTCTCCATATAGCTCCACATGGTCCAGAACTGCAGAAGGAAGAAAGCATCTACTGCATAAAGGAAAGAAAGGAAAACCCATAGAAATGGAAATGTAAAAAAAATGAAATAAAAAGGGAAGCCACAACCCTTCATGCTGCTGTGGCCTCTACATGGCAACACATGAGTTCACGGCAGTAGAACGGAGACTTGGGGGTGGTTCTCGCCTGAGTACCAAGCCTCTCTGGCTCCCTGGGGTGGGGCTGGGGGACTTGCTTTTCAGACCTGGAGTGGTTGGCAAGCTGCTTACTGAGGGTGGCATCCCAGCTGCCTCCTTGCCCCTCACTGCTCCCCTCGGCCGTGCTCCCAGGCCATGCGGGCCTGCTCCTCCTTAGTGCTCCCAGGAGGCAATGAAGCCTTGCGGTGCAGGCCTCGAGGCCTCTCAGTCTCTTCCCGCAGCAGCACCCCCTCATCGTGCTCCAGGGCTGGCAGGCGGGGGTGGTAGGGCTTGGGTGGCAGCGCAGGCGGGTCCATGGGGTCCTGAGGGATGACGCACCCCGGGGCTGAGTGGCTTCGGCATGGCTGGGCCTTGATGGAGTCCAGGACGGCAGACTCAGAGAGGCTGTAGTGGACAGGGAGGTAGGGTGGCTCAAGATCTTCATCAGCATTCCAGGCCTGGCTTGGCATGGAGTCCATGGTGTCAGTGCGAGGTGGGGCCTCTGAAGAGTGCCCAAAGTTACTCTCACTCAAGGAGGACACGCCGCTGCTGGCACTGCCGGACAGCGTAGAGTTGCTGCCGTCCAGGCCTGACTGGGGGCTTGTGGGGGAGGCTGGGATAGGGTGGAGAGGAGACTGCGAAGGAAAGGGTGGGCATGTTAGAATCCCTCTCTGTCCAGACAGGCTGACTTGCCTGCCATGGGAAGACCAAAAGCCTGCTTATGAATGGACCTTAAAATAACCCTCATCAACAGCATGTTTCTTGTTTCTTCTGCAACAAGCTCCCAGATCCTCCCACCATCCTCAGGTAAGCCAGTGGAACTCCAGAATCATCTCCATTTCTGTGACCAAAAAATGGCCCTGCCCTGGCTGCTGGGCATTGGCACCCCCTGGTCCCAGGTCCCAGGCTGCTGTCTGTTAACGGGGGCAGAAAGACTCCTGGTGGGCCATGGACCAGAGGAATGTATTCTGCTGCTAAAATCTATGATAGACTTAGTCTTTTTCAATTTGCAGACAAATTAACAGGAAATTTTACTCTCATGAGTTTTTCATAAAGTTCTTGCTTTTACTGAATTCTAGTTTGAAATACTCTCTGATCCACCACAGGAATGTTTGTTTAGCTAGTGAGCTATGGTGTGTTGATACCATGGTACTGGCTGAGAGCCCCCAGGTTTCCCAGAGCTCACTGCCCACACACTCTTGCTACTGTGCGTTGTTGTTTCCAGGACCCTCTCATCTCCCTGCCCCCACCGCATTTACTGCAGGACCCAAGTGTGCACCTGCAGCTCAAGTGTGGCTCTGGCCACCCTCAGCTTCTGCCAGGCTGGGGAGAGAGGTGAAGGGGAGAGCTCCAGTTCCTCTTGTAGACCCCAAGGGTGGTTCTAGAGCAGACGAGATGACTCATCTCACAGCCTGGTGGGGCTGCTGCTTCAGTACATTACCTTGCGCAGGGTCCGGGCAGGGAGGGCTGGGGGGGTATCACCCAGAGGGTGGTGGAAGGCGTCAAAGTGTAGGGAGTAATGACCTGCAAAGGGAAAAGAACCAGAGCCTCAGCTGGGGGCCCTACACAGGCTTCATGCCAGCACCATCTTGCTGGGCCAACTGGGCATGAGGAGTGCCCTGGGGACTCCTCAGCACTAAGGGCTATGTAAAAACCTCTCTTTACATTGGCCTTTTCCAAAACACAGGCTGCTGGGGTAAAAGAAACCCATTCCACACAGGAATTCAGGAACGTTGAGTGCTTCAGAGTCTGTGGAACAGGCCTCAGGCAGCGGCAGCTCTAGCCCACTGCTAGGTGATGAGAGTCTGGCGAGCAGTGTGCCTGGCACAGTCAATTCCGTTGTCTTCAGCCTCCTGGTTGGGATAGCCTTCCTGAGCTAACCTGCGGTACTCAGAAACCTCACTGACCCCAAAGCCCAGCAGGATCCTTCTTGTGGTGGGAGTGTTTTTGCTTTGGCTGAGTCGACCCAGAGAATGGTCCATCTTCTCAGCTTACATGGCTGTTGCTCTGGCCCTTGAGCAGAGTCTGAGACCAGGGACTATTTGGGGTACCCGCTGGAGGTCTTCTTACCATGCAGCAGGCTTCGGGGAGGCACTGGGGGGACCATGATGCGCCCCATATGGGCAGACAGGAAGGGCTGGGCCTCTTGGGCTCCGCTATCCAGACTCCAGCTGCTGGGGGCTGCTGGCACAGCTGAAGGGTGGAAACAGATGGCATGAAGGGAGGTTACTTCTTGAGCCACCCTGTGGGAGAAGTACAGCCTGTGGCTTCTCCAGTGTGCACCACATATCCAGCACATGGGTGGGGCATGCCAGCACTTGGAACTAAAAACACTGACCAAGCAAGGCACTGTGGTCCACAGGGGAGAGTGCCAGGGACTGAAGCTGCTTAAGAGGAGGGCAACAGAGTGAGAGTGAGCTTTTGTCTAAAGAGTATTCAGGATGGGATAGCTGAACGTGCAGCAAGGAGTGAACATCTGCAGCCTCTGGGATCTTCCAGGAGAAGAGAAAACAGAGGACAGAAGAAGAGAGGAGAGATGAGAATACGAGAATACAGAGAGAGCACAGGACATAGAGCTCCTTGCTAAAGTCTAGAGTCAGCTCTCCTACTGCATAGGCTCAGTGGGAAAAGCAGGGAGTAAGGACAGGTACCTGTTGGAAGAAAGTAGAAAGCCCAGGAACTGCAGTCCAGATCCAGCTGGACCCACTACTTCCTAAGAGGAGGAGGGAGGGCTGTGGAGCCCATGAGTGCCCTTGAGTGTATAGAGAAGCCCAGTTCCTAGCACCCACATGCCATGGGTGCAGGGTGCAGTGGGCCCAAGATAAAGAGAAGCACAGAGTGCCCTTCTATGTTAAAGGAGTCCGTTGCCAGAATACTGTTCCATCAGCCACAGTTGAGATAAGAGACTTTTAAGGAGGAGAGAGGAATGATGGCTGGACCTTGGGGTCTGAGGGTGCCACTCTGCAGGAGCAGCAGGGGACATGTGAATTCTCTCAGTCAGCTCTTCCTAAAGAACAAATACCACCAAGTAGAAATATGCCCGCTCTCTGTTGGAGCCAGGCAACCCCACTCTCCTCTTTGGGCTACTAGCAGCAGAGAAGCAGGTCACAATCCAGGTGCTGTCACTGGATTTGTTCTAAGGCTGTGGTAGCTACATTGAGCCTGAGGTGGCTAAGGTTTGGGTTCTTCCTGGTATCAACACAGACATGGGAACTTCAGGGACCAATGGGAGCTGAGAGGCTTTGGAAGGGAAGGAGCTAGAGTCTGTCCTTTGAAAAGGATGTGGCCAGAGGGTCTGGGGCCCCTCAGCTGTCCAGGGATAAGATTGTGACATTCGTGACCCTCTTCTTCCTCATTGCTCAGGAACTGGTGTGGACTTGCAGCAGAACACAGTGTAAAACTCCACTGTCTAAACAGCCTCAGTTCTGAGGAGGACTGCCCAGTCTCCTGGTATAGTTGATGACTGGTGGCAGGAAGGAGAGGTGTGCCAGTGACTGAGCCACAGGCAGGCACTTAGCTGTTGCCTGAAAGGAGGAAAGAATTCTGCATCTGATGTGCATCAGGTGGATTTCACCAAATGACCTCCTCGGCCTGAGCCATCCCAAGAACAGGTCCACTGACCCACACTCTACAAGATGCAGCATGAGCTTTTTGGTCCTCATCACTGATGTTCTTGGTACCTTCCCTGTTCTGCTAAAAAAGCACCTTCTCCATAAAAAGCCACCAAAGAAGTATCAGAAAATAGGAAGTTTGGAAATGTGTCTGGGGCTGCAGATGTTCACCCACAAGGGCTCAAAGGAGTTCTAGGGCAGGAAGGCTATGGGAGAAGAAAGCTGACAAGGCTGTAATGGTTTACAAAAGGGTGCTTGCCTGAATGACTCCACGTAAACCAGAGGTCATCAGGTTTGCCCTGCAGCCTGATGTCTGTGAGCAATGGGGCCAGTAGACCTTTGCCATGTACCGCAAGTGCACTGGGGCTAGAGGGAAAGCTAAGATAGAATGACTTATC